CCTGACTCCCTGGTGCTGGCATTAGAAGGCGCATTTGCCCCCTGCGCTCCCCGAGCGGCGAATTGTTTTGGGCAAACTGAGCCTCAGCACTGAATACGGTTTGGACAGGTCACTAAACTTGTTAATAGACTGGAGTCCGTGAACAATGGCTCAAGCACTTTGTGGTTCACACGAATGTTACTTCGCGCGGGAATTTAGGCCTGATCAAATCTTAATGTGTGCTCAGGTTTTATCGAACAGTGCTGACGCGTGTTCGGCCATTCGCGTCTGAAAAAGTCCTCCAGTGCCCTCGACGTATTTGCTTTGCTCGCAACGGCATCAGATCCAATAGACGATTTCTGATGTATCCCGCCGTTGTAGTGGGCCTATTAGTCTCATTACCTGATCTTACCTACACATTTGTTTGGGCAAATAAACTCTCCCATCTGAAGGAGGAATCACCTGTCGCCTCGAAGCAACTCATTATAGGACTTCAGAGGTGCATCAACAGAAGTACATAGACGAAAATAACAGATGTATCAATTTGGGTGGTGACGTTCTTAGCCAGCCTCATCTTCGACCGAGAACGCTTGAACTTAAAGAGCTACGCAACAACGTTGTTGCCAGCGGCAACCTTTAATCGATTTGTTTCCAATAGTAGTGGACTAAAGGACCCCAAGATCCATCTCATGCATTAATTTCCTGAAGTAGCAAATACAAAAACCTCACAAAGAAGCTCATATATTTAAAGTAAACGAATGTTTCGCATTCGGTTGTTTTCAGGGAGCCGAATGGGAAGGCCTAGACAAGATGATACATATTATTCTTTTCCAGGCTGGCTTTATGCGATTTCGCTATTTTGACCTCGGAGAAAGATATCAACAATAATGGCTTATGCGCAGTCGTTGGAGGCTCGACAAGTTTGAGTGATCCCAGTAATTGCTTTGGAGAAAACCAGTTACTTCAAGTTGAATAAAGCGCTCGTTCTGGCAGTCCACGTAACTCAGCGGGCACCAGAAAACAGCCGCCATGCTAAAAACTGATCTTAATCTGATTACGCAGGAGATACAACTATAGTAAACAGTATGGGATCAGTGAAAAACGTAGGCAGTTGCAAGAAGCGTCGATTATTGTGTCCTTCACCTCTGCCAGCTGACTGCCAAGGCGACAGGACAAAGGAGGAGACGTAAGCATAATTCGACCTCCCTATTTTTAGCCCTGCGCGTTGATTGAAGGACGGAATTCGGAGGCCTGTTTACCCTACAGCTCTGAGCTAGGGCATTCTCAGGCGTCCAGCTGTCGATATATCTGCAGTAATCACTTTAGCATGAACTGAGCTTTAGGTTGGCGGCTGTCTGTCTACTATAAAATCTGTCCTCTATCTACTAGCCGATGTGCGGCCATTTTTAGGAAGGACCATGAGAGCGTATAGGGTGATGCCAGCTAAACCTTTGGCGTCAGAATGAGCTGTATTTTAGACAATGCTTATAACTGCACAGATCGCTTCGGCGATCAGCAATTACCTTCTTACATTAAAGTACCTGGCAACTGCAAGCCGTCCGTTCTGAACATATCCATGAATATTGGAGGCTTCACAAAGTCTCTTATCTCCATACAACTTTACAGTTCTACCCCAACTAGACTGTATATTTCCAGTGGTTCACGTTTTGCCTGTTGTCTTCACTTAGGCAAGCATGACTGAATCCTCTTCCACTCTCTAGCTTTTATGCTTATAGCTGATGCTAATGCTTCTAGAAGCAGCCGGTAAAATTATTTAATTCGTGAGACTGGGCGGTCTGGTCTTGCCATATATCCGGGTGGAATGAGTACTGCCTATTTGCAACACTGCGTCTACATAAGCAGCGCAATGCCACAACCATCATATATGGACATCTAAATAGAAAATGGGAATAAGAATTTCACACATAGGTTCTAAAGGTGTCCCAATCAAGCAAAATTCCGGGCAATGGATGTATTCTCGTGCACTAGACCTAGCACAACTCTATACCATAGCTCTAATCTTAAACATAATTCTGCCCAAACCTTGAGCCTGTTCCTAAAATTTAACTCTTACTACAACGCAAAACAGTCGTTCATTAAAGTTCACCGATCGCTAACGAAACTCACTCGTGCCGCTCCGCTTGGAGCTCATTCTGGAACCCCACCTGCAGCAACGCAGCGACTAGTAGTCGAGGCAGATAGCGTGAGAATGAGCCCCAAGGCAAAGCGTGTCGAGTGAGCTCCGTTACTGATCGGTGAAATCTAATCGACGAGTCTCAATATCTCCCGATTTAAACCTGCAAGACAATGAGCCCGTGGCTCAATGGTGAGAGCGTTAGATCAAAAGGTCGCGGGTTAGAGCCTCTAGTGGGGCACCACGTGGGGTTTCTTATGATCGGCTGGTGACGACTAATGAGCCAGAAATAACCGTCCCCAGTCTCCCTTTGCAGCCAATTCTATCTGCCTATAACGCTCAAGTCAATCCTAAATCGACCTAACTTTCATCTTAACCCGAACTTTGATCCCAACCCTATATTTAAACTCAAAATTTATTATACGGGAAGTTAGCGCAAAGCCGTATATATTGCGGGCGGTTCCTATTACCATAACTGTTTGGTAAGCCACAGACATAATTATTGCCGACAGCACTAGGGAAGAAAGTGCAGGTTGCAGCCCCTGCAAAGAGCAGTATTTGAGTTATTGATATCAAAATGATGGTAGATCGTGAAAGTTGGACGAAAACAATGTACTCAAACTCTGGCATCGGTAGACACATAGTGCTTCACGCCCCCATCTTATAGTAGTCAGTCAGGAGATCTAGCGATTCTCAAGAGCGGATGATTAGTCAGGACAACGACAAAGACAGCAAGAAGGAAAACCATTGTCGAAAAAAACGTTTTTCGCAATTAACTGTTTTTACTAATTTGTTGTGAAGTAAAATAACTAGTAACTGACGAACTGAACACCGAGTGAATTAATCAGTGTAAATTACTCACTGAAGACGAAGGCAAGTTAATTCTCTAAGATTCAGAGACTCACTTAGTTTTCAGCTCTCAGACAGACGTGAATAGCCTTCACTACAAGATTAAAAAGTGCCAATTTTAATAAAGTAAAACGAATACGCAACAGTGCAACTAGAACTAACAGAACATTCATCACTCGGATGCATCTGCTGAAAGCTTGTTTTATAACGCATGGTTATGACTTAGTAACCACAAAAAGTTCACTGTTTATCAGGATGAAATTTGAGTTACATATGACTGTCCTATTCCCCGCTAAAATATCGTTCGGCGCACACATCAGTAGGGGACATCAATGCTGCCGGAAGCACTAAGGTTGAGAAGTTAGCGCGTTCAGACGCACAAGTATAAAATGGACATCGAAAGAGAGAAATGATGAGCTAACTTGTTATGAGCATGACCCAGAGCATTGGAGTGAGGAGGCACTGGAAGCAATTCAGCAGACGACACCATCCGTGGAGCTGTTCAAAGTCCATCAGGCCGTCAGAGCTCTCTGGAATGGATGGCGATGGGCTAGGTTCTGGGCCGTCTGCACTAACGGCTACCACAGGAGGGGAGACATTCTCGGAGCCTCGAAAAGATATATAGGATTCTGAGGCGACGGTTGTCATTGAAAGTTTACTTCCACTTATCGACTCGTCTCCGCCTCTGTTGGCGGCTCCCTGAAAACTGCCCGCTTCTAAATCACGATTGGACGCTGGCAGGGGTGATGCGTCTGTCGGCTGTGCTGATGCCGGCGGAGCGGGCGGAGCTGGCTCCAAATCCTCAATAACCACTGGAATGGTGATGCGGAAAAGGAGGAATAACGGAGCTTGCAAAATTTGAAGCAGCTTCATAGGAAGGGAGATCCTCTTCCACTCGTCGAAGTCTATGGGAGAGAGTGAGTAGAGCAGATGATGCCACATGCCCTTGCTGCCCCATTTCATGAAGGCGTCGTCCTCTTCCTCCTCTTCTGCCATTTCTTCCTCTTCCTCTTCTTCCTCCAGCTCCTCATTTTCCTCATACTCCTCAGCCTCTTCCTCCGCAATACTCTCCTTCAGTGCCGAAGGTCTTCCCAAGATGGAGGCGATAGGGCTCACCTCAAATTGAACCCTTAGGTCAGTTGGATGACCTCCGATATCTTGTTTAAGGAGGCTGGCTCTTGGAATTAAGATAGAATGAGGCGTTAAGGAATTGATACTAGTAAGCTGGTCCAAATCGGGTAGAGAGGTTGAGGAGACGCGATGCAAGGGGTGGAGATTGTTCGGCGATCTGTTTGTTGAAGAAGCAGGACTTTTGCCGAGAAAGGAGACAGAAGGGGTATGGCTTCCGTGGGTCGTGTCTCTGGGTGAGTTGAAGATAGCACTTATTTCAGGAATCTGTGTGGAATCCGAACAGTGTCGTAGTCGGGAGGGCAGTTTAAATTCACCTGCAGGATAAAGTAGAGCTTCGGCCATTTAATCATTTAATAAGGGTGTGAATACCATTTAGTAAAGGTCAGCTCAAATTAAATATAGTAAGAAACAGTTCTCGGCCCTTCGAAAAAGAGAGCCTGACGATAAGGAAGTCACTGAAAATTAAGAACTTATAGGGTCGCTATGTCGTACATTTTGCCTACTTCTGAATATTAGACTTCAAATAAAAAGGTTTTTATAGATTCCCGATTCTTCTTATAATTGTAAAGAGTGCTGCGCAGTAGAGTCAGACCATTACGGAGCTTTTGCAGGGAGATGAGGGTTAGGGTTCATAATATAATTAAAGATAGGAGTAAGGTAGGATATGGTTTAAGGCAACGTCACGGTAGGGTCAAGGTTACGATTAAGTTTACGGTTAGAGTTAAAGGAAATTTTAGGACGAAGAACAATTTTAAGCGTTGGGTTTGTATCAGTGTTAGGATTACGGTAATCCCTCGGAAATGCTGGCTTCTGGAGAAATTTCGTACGACCACCTCTAGTAGCAGTGCCTCAGCGACATTTATTTTGGGAAATTTTCAAAAGCTCATCAAACTGTGCAATCAAGCAGCCCGTGCCATGACACGAAAATGGGCCACCGTCCTCGCTGCTTTAATAGTTCAACATTCTTACAACAGTGGCTGCTTACAGAAGCCATACAGAACGAATGTGACAACTCAAGAATTGCGCTAGTGATTTTTGGCAGAGTTGCATAATTAATTTGACCCATTTAGGAAAACATCGACGGTTTCAGTGGAGTCTCAACCCACGAAAGCCAGGGCAAAGTTTGTATACAGTCAGCGCTCTAACTTATCAATCATATGAGTATGGTAGTCATCTAGTGGACTCTCTTAAAACTGCTTAGGAAATGCTGTTAGGACAGTGAGTTTTCTATATCAGAAGTGATGGATTCCATACTTTGTAATAGACTGGACTTGACCCAAATGTGAGTAAATTCACGGCACCAAGTCGGGACCTCGTGGCCTAGGCGGTTAGAGTGTTGGCTGTACAGGATGTTTGCATTAGCTGTGCTATGTTCGAACCCCACTGTGGCGGATGAGTCTTTCAAAAGTAGGTCGGATGAATTACGTAAATATTAAACACAGCGGCACTATTGTAAGGAAGGAGTTCAATTAAGCTCGAGAGGTCCCTATAAAGGCATTAATTCTTACGCTGGATAACACCCCAACTTAAATGGTGAGCACTACTACGTCTGCAATCAAAAACCTGGGATTGAGCCATCCGTGTTTTCCGCTATGTCA